ATAAGGACCTTTATATCTCTAAAAGGGGTTTGAGAGAAGACGCACGGATCAAAACTGCTTGCATAATGTACAAATGTGTTAGAATTATGTGTGACGACTAAAACGGTTAGGCCTCAGGCAAATTCGTTGGTGCTTTGTATCAGTCTGTTGACCCTTGCCGAATGCTGACAGGTGTGTGTCCTTTGTAAGACTCGGCGCAATATGGACTATCTTGTGGTTGTATAATCACTGAATGTCACTGGTTATGGTTCCGCTACGCTGTTACTCGACAAAAGCTTTCATCAAACCACCAAATCGAGATCTGCGCTTCACTTAGAAGACTATTGGCCGCCTTTGTCTAAGTTTATCAGCCCCAAGGTTGATATACTCAACATTAGCCATTTACAGACCATTGTTCAAACGAAACGCAGAAATCGCACGGTGGACGACATCCAAAGTACGTAGCGACCGTGGCACTGGAGCAAGATGCACCCATTATGATTTTTGACTAGATTACTCAGTACAAGCTCAAACAGGCTTGACAACATTTTATAAGCGTTGAAACTATCCTTCAATACTCCTTGCCTTTGTCACAAAGTACTTTTGGTCATCGTAAAGGAGCGGGCCGGCCTGCGGGTATTCTCTTTGCTACACTTTCTTGCGAAATCAATGACTTTGTCTTTAAAAGATTGAGCGTCATATATCCGGTGCCAGACTCCATGGCTGAACGCCACATTATGCAGAAGCAGTGTGCAAATCCAATAGGCTGCAAAAACACGTCTTTTCATGGTGGTGACAGATTCAATATCAGATATCAGATTACTATTAGCGTTGTAGTAAGCAGTCTTACGACAAATTTCCGCGCCCTTGCTGCGTTGATTTAATCACGGGCGTCTGAGTTACACTTTATGTAAGGAAATGTTAGCGCATCCTGCGTTTGGTGTGAGCTTTTGAAATCCTCCACGAACCCGCTTCAGTAATCCACCCAAACGCGAGACGGCTGGTAAAGACGCCCCCCATCTTAAGTTGTAGAGCCCCGATCCACTTTGAACGGCTTGGGCTGTTTTGATCTAATCAAATCGGTTGAGAATCCTAGAGATAGTTAAGCGACGTCATCAATGTACGCTCGATGAGACTCTCGGAGAGAAGTTATACGCTTCGCTGAGTTTGGAGGCATAAAAATTATGACCAACCTCACATCATCGGAATCATTACAGCAACACTGAGCTGATATTAAATGAGCTCGTCAGGAAAAACAGCATGAGCTAACGAAAAAGAATTAATCTTGCCTTAAAGACGCCAAAATTAGCGATAATCGCTACCGATAATGCTATATTCAGTGCATCAAAATGATGCGCAATATGTATTAGAAGTGCCGCTTGGTGCACGATGACTTGAGCGAGTACAATATTTTGCTCTACCAGGCTCAAATCTAAAATCTATTATAGACGTGTCGCAATCCGTCGAGTATGAGCATCCAACTGTCAACGATTTCTTACGCAACGACCGTCGTAATATTCCCGACTTTTTTTGCAAGATAGGCGCGCTGAACCCCATGACAACGCAAGAATTATTTGATTTTGTCACAAATCTTTGCTTTGCTGATGACGCTGTGGATGATCATCTTGAAGCAGTTCAGCGCATGATAGCTGACCGACCGGTGGACCGCACCAATGAGGAGCAAGTTGACGAGGTGGTATTCATTAACACTTTATCCCTCGTTCGTTCGGCGAGGTGCCGCATTCGGAGCGCGAGCAGCTCGCGTACCAAGATGGTACAATAGAAAAGACATTTGTGACAGCAATATCGCGCCTTGAGTTAGAGCAAAATACAGGGCCAGGTTCGGTAGTGCGAGGCACACGTATCATGGATTTGCTCAATGAGGAAGATGATCGGGAGATTGACTCTTGTGATAAAGAGGACGACATAGACGCGGAAGATGACAGTGATCAAGGCAACGGTTATG